TTCAGTAATCAGTCTTATAAACATATTACCATGATGGATTCAGATTGGCCGATGTTTTCTTTTTGTACACGTAACTCTGGTTTATAAACTCTAATTAAACAAGCCTCCGTAAATGCTATCTTTGTTAACTTTTATTACTTGTGTAACAACAGAAGACAAGGGCCAAGCAACAGATCGTTTTATTACGAAAATCAACACGTATTTATACATCTTTCAACTACATTATTATAGACAAGCGCAGTCATCTGATTGGTTGTTTTTAGGTAGACAAACGCAGGCTTCTGATTGGTTGTTTCGGGATTCCTTGACAAATAGAGTTCTCTCTGCGAATCATATTCTGCCACGTTAACTTTGCTGTGATTGGTTGTTGACTCAGGCTTGTTCATATTTTCTCACGGCCCATATTAGTGACCTAGACCTTAACGTAGATTAGTGCCAACCAATCGGCTAGCAGCCTGCTCTCACCACACTCGTCCCCCGTCAAATACGTGCGACTGAAGTCGGCTTGATCTACTTGGTGCAGGCGTCATCGTTGGCTTGTCTCGCTGTATCCATTTCTGGAGCTCACTGACGTTCACGCGCCTCTCATTGTTCGCCATTGCGACTGTGTCTGCGTAACCCCATCTCGAAGTGACCATATATGGTCCTTCCCACTTTGGAAACTGTTTGCCTGACCCTGTCGAACATTCGTCCATACTTCGGCCCACACCTTCATATGCTGCTTTCGCCCGACCTCCCAGCAGCGTCTCAAGTAGCAGCTCCATCGCTGACAGATCTTGAACGCCACTCAACTGCGCAGAAGCCTTGAAGTCCTGCCCGAAGATCCATATGTCTCCATCAAAAACTGCAGGGTATAGGCTTTTCATTTGTCGGTCGGCAGCGACACCAAATGTAACAACAGAAGACAAGGGCCAAGCAACAGATCGTTTTATTACGAAAATCAACACGTATTTATACATCTTTCAACTACATTATTATAGACAAGCGCAGTCATCTGATTGGTTGTTTAGGTAGACAAACGCAGGCTTCTGATTGGTTGTTTCGGGATTCCTTGACAAATAGAGTTCTCTCTGCGAATCATATTCTGCCACGTTAACTTTGCTGTGATTGGTTGTTGACTCAGGCTTGTTCATATTTTCTCACGGCCCATATTAGTGACCTAGACCTTAACGTAGATTAGTGCCAACCAATCGGCTAGCAGCCTGCTCTCACCACACTTGCTTTAAATTCGTATCGGGAAATTAATGTTAGTAAATTTATTGACGCATTTAACCAGTCAGTAGCTGGAATGAATTCATGTGAAGCTCATTCCCTTGCGCAAACTTGACATTTAAATATTGAAGGTTATAAATTTAGCTTACATATTTAGTTCTCAGTAAAAACAAAACGTATATTTTCTATACCATAAAAAGTGAATGAATCACTTTGTTATCCTGAATCAGTGATGTCATACCATTCGTCGAAATATTGTACAAGTGATATTTAGTGTATTTGCATTTATTTGCAAAAATACAAACAGTAATGAATTTCAGAAGGTAATGTATCGAATATTGACTAAAATTGGCTTCAGTGAATTAAATGTCAGAAAATATTTATTACTTGTATTTTGTGTGGTCTGTTACTGCAGAGATCTGTAAAATGTACTTGCCTTAAACATGTACTTAGTTAATTGGTTATACCTGTATGCTCACGCTAACTCTGACTAAACGAAACGATAGTATGACGATAAAATTTTTATTCTTATTTACAACATCTATGTTGGAAGATTGGCAAGTTGAGTGCTTTATCCTTAGATTTTTTTACACTGTTATTTTTAAGTATATACATAAACCAAAACATTTATTTCCTGATACGAATTTAAAACAAGCAGGATTTGATAAACTCGTGTTTTACCGAAATTTGATGAATTCATTAAATGCTGATTTGTTAACCTTTGTTGCTTGTTTTAAATTCGTATTGGGAAATAAATGTTTTCAATTCTCGGAGTAGCGCCTCCTGGAAAGGACTATTATCGCACTAAGTGATCCAGTCAAATTGTGGTGTAGAATCGGTAAACAATCTGCATGAAGAGATTTTTGAAAGAATGTATTCAGACTAATATATATCCTCGGAAATTTTACAAATCCTTGCGTAAAGGTCCTTCATGGCCCAATCTTCACCCTCTTGCTGAATTAGATTTGTGCTCTGAAATAGATGAAATAAGTAATTTATGCGTATTATCAAGCAAACTGATCGGTGTACAGAATGACTTGAACTTCGTATGTTATCTAAAATTGGTAAAATATCTGCTTACCACTTCGAAGAAGACAAAAGAATCAGAAGAAACGAAACTGAAGGGGTCACTTTTTCCGGAACCGCCAAATGACATCTTCCCAGTGGATATATGTAATGACATTCATAATTTGTCTGATTTTTCCCTGCCAAAGAAACAAGCAGAAATTCTATCAGTGGGTTTCAACTTCTGTGCTTGCATGAAAAAGATAAAGCGAATTGATATCGAATGCAAATTTGAAAATCTTTATGATCAACTTATGGGGCTGCATGCTGCGTCAATTGACATTGTTCATCAGTCTCGAATCATGCCGATCAAAAGTCGCATATCACCAAAGAACGCTGGAGATCTCTACACAGGCTTTTAAAAGATAATAATATTGCTATTTTACAGTCTGATAAAGGACTAAGTGTAGTAGTAATCAATAAAAAAGATTACAACGACAAAATGCATCAAATTCTCTCTGATGAATCTCGATTCAAATTGGATAATCATGCAAAAGATCAAACATTATCGACAGAAAAGAAAATTAGGCACCGTCCAAGGTAACTCTTCAAAAAGAAATACATTGATGAAAATACATATAATAAAATCAAGCCGATTGAATCACAAATTCCAAAATTATACAGACGCGTTAAAATACACAAACCAGAAGCACCATCAAGACCTATACTTTCAGTGATAAATTCACCATACCACAAATAAGCACAGTCGCGAAGTGAATTAATGCAGCCCTTGCGAAACGTAAACGTCTTCTGATTCTATTTTTTATTTTTTTATTTTTGATTACAGCTTGATTCCACACTATATTTTTGGTACAAGTATGGAATTTTCAGCATGGATATCGGTAGCCCAAATTTCACAGGCCGACCATAGATATCAGGTGTGCGTCAACAGAGGATCGAACCTCGGACCATGTGCATAGTCGGCGCGAGTCCTAACCACTGCGCCATTGACACACATGATTCATTTTAGTTTGTCAAGCAACTTGAAGATTTCAGCGCATCTGATAAGCATCTGGTCTCTTTCTATGTTATCGCCCTCTTCACAAATGTGCCAGTCCGAATAATGGTTGAAAACAGATGAATTTAAAGTGCCAAAAGCCTCAACAACAAAACATCTTGTGGACTATGGACATGATATCAACACTGTCAACTCATTCAATGTTGTCAGCAAACAAAGAAACAGGAAGAACCTTGCAGCTGCAGAGACTCGTGCAATTCGAGTTTATAAACCAGGTCTCTGTGTATAAAAGGAGATGGTCGTAACTCTGAATTTACCATGGTAATACGTTTTACTTATTATTCTACCTATTACTATTACCATTATTATTCTTGATTCATTTAAAACTGTCTTTTATCAGTAGAACACAACATAATCGAGCAAAGAATATTCTTTTGAATAAGTTCCTCTTCTGGCTCTACAATTATATACATGTTTGTATACACAGAATATTCAAGGTTGGTAGTTAATAACAATATTAGTGTTTTTTAAATAATATCGATTTGTAAAGCAAGATCAATGCTTTTTAATGGTATTAATATTATCTCCTTTTTCTGTTGGATCTTTCAGTTTGCATAATACCGAATTAGGTGATTTGACTGGCTTGTTTGCTATATCTATATCAAACGGTTTCAATATTCTAGCTGTTATTTCAGAGATATTTTTTATTAGTAGTAGTAGCAAAAATATTTGATTCTTACATTTGGCAAATTGTTTCATTAACTCGAATTAAAATTTCTTATATATCGTAGGACGAATTTTCTTGTTTTCTTTGATGATGGTTGCTTGTTGGTGTTGTCGTTCGATTTTAAACACTTTTTGATGAAATTGTGAGGATATCCATTCTTTTTGAAGACCGTTTGTAGGTATTTTTCTTCCATTCTTTTCAACTCTGAACTGCTACAGTGTGTTTGAACTCTTTTAAACAACGTCTGCGCAAAGTTTCTTTTGTGAGCAATTGGATTATTGCTAGTATAGTTGAGTATTTGATCTGTGTGCGTTGATTTGCTATATATACTTGTGTTTCCTTATTTTATGCGTTAGTTCTCCTGATTAAGACATCTAAAAATGAGATTATGTCATTTAATTCTTCTTCTCTTGTGAATTTGATGTCTTCAGATAATTAATTAATTTGTTATTATTATCAATTTATTTATTATTAAGACAAGAAAAAGCATCATGCCGGCTGGCAGAGAGCTTTAAAAAATACCCCTGTTCAATTTGTGACTGCTCCCGCAATAATGAGTACCAATTGTCGCTCCCTGCTGGCTAAAATTAACTGTCTTCAATCGATGGTGTCTCCCATTATATATCATAATACTGGGATCATATCACTTCAAGAAACATGGCTTCATGATCTATATGATGACAATTTAGTGTATATAAATAATTTCAAATTGTTCAGACAAGATCGGTGTAGTTCCAGGAAGAAACGTGGTGGCGGTGTCGCCATCTTCATCAATTCACAATGGTGTATGTCTAATAATGTATGTTTCAAATTCTCTAGTGACAATATTGACTGTCTCACCGTTAAGTGTCGACCTAAGCATTTGTCAAAGTACAACTACATTTACATCTCGAACATTTATATTGCTCCTGGATGCAATTCCACAGAATTATCTTTATTTGCGGATGAATTTACCTCCCTTGCTGCCACCTCTTTCCGAAATTCCTTGTCTATAGTTACTGGTGATTTTAATCCTAGTGATCAGAGCTTCCTAATTTCACTTGGACACGATAACATTGTCAACTTCCCGACTAGAATGGATAACACTCTTGATCTTGTGTTCACAAATGACGCAGGAGTATTTGAAGCTCGAAAAAGAGACCCACTACTAAATTCAGATCACTGTATCATAAGAATATTGCCCAAAGTATATGGAAAGCAGCACAAAAAAGTCTTCTCACACCTTGGAAAGAAAACACAACACAGGCTATATGCTGGGACTACCAAATGCAAAACTCCACAATACCATATCTGGCACAGCTGTTATATGATGAGAAATCCTTTAGGTATGATACGATAAACTTACTGCGGCACTCTAACAAATAGTCTCATCAGTTTTTGTTTTCCTTTTCTCGTTACTATCACACTGTTGTTCTCATCTTCTATCACACATCAACTTTATATTTCATATCCTGTGGTGCATTGTTTGAAATATAAACGCTACGCTGTTTTTTATTTATCTTTCTTTTGGCATTGTTTTTTTATTTATTTGTTTTTTTCAATTTTAAAAATCTTATAAAATTTATGAGGTAATTAGATGCAATATATTGTAACGCACGCTGAAAATTCCATACCTTTACCACAAATACTGTTTGGAATAAAGCTGTTAATATTATTATTAATTTATGGGTATATTCTAAATCGTTTCTTTTAATTATTACAAATGTATCATCAACGCAACGTAATCTTTGCAGGTCGGCTTCACCTATTAATCCTGATACTGGTGAACCCACTGGTGTTCCTTTTTTCTGTTCGTATATTTGAGTATTGAAGTAGAAGTATGTTGTAAGGCATAACTCCATGAGTTCTATCCAAGTTGAACATTGCGTTTTTATATTTTCGTCATTGAGTAACTGCTGCATAGTTTCTGTGACTAGTTTTGGACTAATGGAAGTATATAATGCTGCGACATTAATAATGATCAATGAATTTTAAATAATTAAGTTTTCCAGTTCACCTTTTGTTTGTAAAGCATCCCAGGATTTACGTGCTAGCATCACATATTATCTGGTTAAGAGAGTAAACAAAAAACCAAGAATCAGTCATCTTTTTATTTTAATGCACTTTGTTCTAGACTTCATGAAAGGTTTTTTATTGTTAGTAAGAATTACATTGATTCTATTCCATCACCCTCTAAATACATTCATAATTTTAATTTTCATACTAAAAAGGTTAAAGCAGCCTAAAGACAATCAGATGAGTCCTTTCTTGTCGTCTTTTTTCTGCACTTTTGGCGATTTGACTGCAATTTGTTCATTGGTATTTTCGCAAAAGAATAAAATAAAGCCAATGCAAATCTATATTTTTCATTGGAAGTTTTTTGAATGAAAACGATTTTAGTTGAAAATGATAGCCGAATGGAACCGCAATATGGGGTTAAATGTTTTCGAATATGTTTAGAATGAAATACCTATGTTTTATCTTTCACACAGGTTTGCACATCCATAATTTATATTCCTTAGAGGATTCAGTATTCCAGGCACCTGTGAAAATTATTTCCTTGCACTAAAGATACATCTTAGTGAGACCAGTTCAAAAGATCATTATGTAATATAATAGCGACCTATGGTTGCCAAGTTTTCAGATTAATTTATGGAACATAACTTGCTGTTTGGTGAGTAACTCTTTATGTTGAAATGTTAACACCACATTAGCGTAACTAGAGATCCATATAAGTAGTACATTGAAGGTGTTGCACCGAAAATACTTGTAAGTCTTATAACAATGAGTATACCTATATATGGAAACCTCTTGATAAGCAGAAGTACTTTCTAACTTCAATAATGCGGTCACTGGTGAGAAATGCGTGAAATCAGGCTTCTCACGAAAACTCCCATATTATTTTTTGATAAATCTACAATATGGGAATCATTTGTGGAGCTGGTGCTGTGACAGGCGAAGACCCTAACATGTGACTTTCAATTAGAACTATAACTTAGCTTGAATATACATGTACACATCTTTGAGTTTAATAATGACAGCTCACCGTTTCATATATAATAATACACAGGTAATATGCGATAGCATTATTAGCAGCAAAAATATTTGATTCTTACATATGGCGAATTGTTTTGTTAACTTGAATTAATATTTTTAGTAAACGATAAAATTCAGATAGAGAAAAAATGAAGCATATCAAATAACTATTTAAACTACTGACAGTAACTGTTAGGAATAGAGTGATTCATTACAGTTGAATGGCAAGCAGTTGCATAAATATAGGGGTTTTTATGCTAAGTTACAGTCAACTTACATACATGAGAAAGGTAATGTAGTTGTACAAATAACTGAAGAATTTTTCAGTTAATCAAATAAATCACTTTCGATACTTGACTTCTTTAACATTTGGTCTTTTCAATAAGTTTATATCCGATTTGAAGATTTTTTCTCTCAGGAATTTCTTTTCTCTTGATAACATAAAATTTCCCTCTGTACACAGTCACGGTAGTTAAACAGGAACGTACCAAAATCGGGGTCGATATGCAACAACTAAAAACCTTTGGTTTTCAATAAATCATGCACTTTAATTTTGTAATCATCTGGTAGCACACAGCTGTAAAGAGGTTGTACGTCTGACTCATTAGACTTACAGTTCTCTTGCTTTTTCATTAGAAGTTTTTATATCTGGCAAAATGCACTGATTCCTTTCAAGTACAGATAAAAACGAAAATTTTAATATGTATCTAAAATATATTTCTCAGGATCTCTCATAAAATACAAGTATAATTCTTGTGTCTTGAGACTTTAGACTATAAGATGAAAAAAGACTCTCATGATGTGAAGATGCATGTTGTTCATAGCGAACGGGATACAGTATCAAATCAACCTACTAAGAAGAAATACGTATTCATAATGAGGCTTAAATTAATATTTATGATGAACAACAGAACGTGCTAGTAGCTGCTTCCCTCGATGGAATGAATTTGAAAATTTTCGCTTTTTACGAGTTGATCACGGATTGATATCAGTTAGAGAACCATTGAAAACCATGGAGTATTGGACAGCTATTTCATGCTAGTTCGAGACCCATCGGTAATACGCAATCACTGGATTTCGAACCCAGGACTTTCCGGTTACAAGGCAAGCTCGTATACCATTCAGCTCATGAATTCTAAATTCTACCAATTCGTGATTTAGAGCTACCCCAACTATTGTTGTCGGTAAGACATCCTTCCTCACACTTGACTGGATGAACCTCACTCGTGACGACTTCTCACCAGACTTCCAGGAAACTACGTTTTGAAGCAAGTCACTAGCGAGCATCAGATTAATTTTCTATGGTTGGTTTGAAACGATTAGTTTTGTTTCTACGAGTTTGACTATGGACTGATATCAGTTAGGAAACCTTGTGACCAGGAGGTCCTGGATTCGAACCCGGTGGGTGCGTACTGCCGACGATTCCCAAACTAGGAGGAAACGGCTGTCTAGTACTCCCTGGTTTTCAGTGGTTCTTTAACTGATATCAATCCGTGATCAACTCGTAAAAACAAAACTAATCCTCACAAACCAAATATAGAAGTTTTTGCCTTTCAGGATTTTGTATATTTTTCAATACTCTGATAGTTTTGTCATATCGGAAAGTTTGCATTGTGTTTGGTTATTATTGTTCAGAATAGTGGTTAATATTGCATATTTATATATGTATATATTTTTAGTGTATGCGTATATTGATCGATTGATTTTTCTTTAAACTGAAGTCTATGCAAGTATGTTAAAATTGTTGTTGTAGATATATTTAATAATGTCTTTGCCATGTAAGCAGCTGACGAGAAAGCAACGAAATAAAAGATGGTACCATTTTATTCTGCTAAAACTGTAGTTCTTGCTTTGTTCAAATATCGGAAAGGCTTGGTCAGACATCTGTTGGGTTTCTTGGGAGATTTCATTTCCTCCTTTTTCATATTAATATACATTTTTTTAGAGATCCTGTCACCTAATATCTGGTGACCTTTATTCATGATTTTAAACATTTATTATTTAAGCGAATTAACAGTGAGTTTCAAATACGTCTTTAACAAACTTTTGTTAACTGATTCTTTACGCATATTTAGAATATAAAACTGGTCAGATTATTCACTTGTGAATTTCCTAGAATACACTCTGAAAACCAGAAATATTCAGGTCAGAATATATGATCTACTTAATGCCATAAATAACAATCAAGAAAGCAAGAGAGAAATAACGGTTTTATATACTTGAGTATTTGAGAAACATGTGAAATAGTAGTGCTTACCAGCCAGATCAAATTGATCTAACCATCAAAAGGAGTGAAACAGCCGTCAGATGTGTTGGATAATTTCACTCTTGCTAGTAAGCGCTACTCCTTAACGTGGGTGCTGAAGATATTTCTGCTAAAAACAACTTAAGGCATTTACTCCACTGTTCTGTGGTAGTAAATTCAGAAAAGCTGACAGATACATCCCTTCTTGATCAGCTGTAATTCTTAAAGTACCAATGATTAGTAATTTTCACATTCGGATTAAAATGCATTCTACACTTCCTGAGGAATACAAAACAGCCACTTCAAACCTTACACATGGTTGTGACACCGTTTCAAAATTAGTTATGTCAAATCAAGACACATAATGAAATAATATTTATTGCAGGTGAGCAGAATTTAGTATTTTTATCTCTAAGCAACTGACTGAATATCAATATTGTCAATTCAGTAACCAGGACTCAAGTGTTCTTGTATGAACGCTGAGAACCATTTTGATATATTTTTCTGTATAGCTTTCCAAACTTCCGCGAATGACATACAGCTCAAAACTATATTCCAACAATAACAAAAGATGTTTGCATCCGACAGAATCTGTATTATTTAAAAAAATAAGAACTTATACCAAAAGTACGGCATCTTTATGGTTCAGAAGCTTCCGAAGTAAGAAATTCTTACTACACAACAGAAATACGGTTACAGCGAGGAAAATTTTCTTTTCGACGAAGTCACCAACCTGGCTGCACATTCGTGTATTCATAGTAAATGGGCCAAAACTATTTCTGGTAGCAAGTCAAATAATTAAAATTACAAACATTACACAGGAAGATCGGATACAGATACAGATGCCGTTCCTCCTGTTTACTTCTGTTATTCTTGCGTTCTTAATCTCTATCTACATTATTAGATTTGGTTGCTGTTCTTATTTTTACTCGTATCCGAACTTCCTATCTATTTTGTTATCACTACAACCTTAATCCATAATTTGATAATGAATAAGAATTTTCTCAATCAAAATGAAACAAAAACTTCGTCTGCAAGAATCAAACTGAGCAAAATACGCTTGTCTCAGACAGTCTCAGGTCAAACTCTCACTCCATTCTAACAGATTCAAAACACCTTATTAGAAGTACCATGATAAAAAAGCATAGTAAAATATTAAAAACAGGCGCCAACTTAAAACAGAAACAAATAATAAGGACTAAGTCAAAATGAGATACGAAAATTTTGGGACAACCATTTATAACTGTATAATTGAAATATCTGAATATGTATCAACACTGTAAATAGGTTTTTCATGGAAGACTTTTGGGATCGATTATTCT